TCAGATATGATTTGGTCCAAATTTCATTTATAGAATTAACGTATATCATGAACCATTATTTGAAGCAGACAAATGTAGTTATATAATTTAATTAGTAGCTTCGCAAGCTGAAGCGTACAATTGGAGAAAATAATAATTTCAGGTGGTTCTGAGGAATGGACTCGAGAAAGTCAACCCTCGGAGTCCTTTGAATGGAAGGAGCATGTATTCTTTAGATACTGATGTCAACTGATCGATTACACAAAATATTTTGCTTAAGTTGAAGGGGTAGAGACTAAAGAATTAATTGGATATATTGAGCCATTTCTGAAGCAATTGCATATCTAGAATTGGTTTAATGCTTATTATACAAGAGGCTCATGTTACTTCAAATATATCATCAATCTAACATGTTCCATAGAAAATAATTATATCACTGCTACAAGCAACGATGAACGAGTCATTTCTATAAGAAAGTTTCAACATACATACAACCTATTCAAACCATCTACTGTATCTTTTATATCCGAAAACATATAAATGAGAACCAATCATTCCCTAAAGCTAGCAACTCACCTACAACTAATTCTATACATTATTCCCCTCGTCCAACATTATGCATCCTCTCAAGCAATCCCCTTATCCTCCTCCTCTCCCTCTTCCTTCATCTTCATGACGTCTCAGCCGAAGACATACCATTACCACCTTTGGACATATTATGCTCACCGACCTCCACAAATTACACCGCCAACGGTCCCTTCAGCAAAAACCTGAATCAGTCACTAGCTCAACTAATCGTAGGCGCTCCGTGCTCAGGCTTCGGACTCAGCTCAGTTGGTAGCGGCACCAACAAAGTAAACGCTCTCGCTCAATGTCGAGGCGACTTGAACAGCACGGAGTGCAGCACGTGCATCACCACAGCACTCGCCCGTGTCCAAAACTACTGTCCATTCAAGAAAAACGCCACCATCTGGCACGGCAAATGCTTCCTTCGTTACTCAGAAAGTGATTTCTTTGGCGAAATCGACGAGGAAGTAAAGTTTAAGATTTGGAGTATAATTCAGAATGAAACCTTGCCATCAGAGTTCAGCATGCAGGTTGTGGAGATGATGAGCTCTTTGAGGGAGACGGTTCGTGTACCGTTGTTCTTTGCTTCGAAAGTCATGGAGGTTGTGTTGCCAGAGAAGAAGCTGTACGGATTGGCTCAGTGTAATAGAGATCTTTCGAGTGAGGATTGCGACGATTGCTTGGGGATTCTCATTGCCGCGCTGCCTAATGCGACGAGAGGAGCGTCAGTTGAGAACTGGACTTGTAACGTAAGATACGAATTGTACCCTTTCTTTAGGGTATAGAATATGATTTCGGATGCAGATGGACAGGCCGATAAATAAAGCTGTTGTTGACTGTAGAAACAACAGGTGATCAGTTAATTACAATAATATTTTATGTCTGTGTTTTTAATTGTTTTGTATCCGATGAATGTCATTCTGACGGACTAAAGATTCATGAATACCCTACGTAACTGTCTCTACGTACTGATCCACAGTATCCAGACATATTTTGCCGTTAGCCCAAAAAGATTGGGATAATATCATCACAAAGGATAAAGAGAACAATTAAAAGGGTAAGTAGCACCTACATACCTTATTGTTTTATCGCATTAATTACACTTAAATAAATACCCTGAGTTATAAAAAGTAGCACTTTGTAACCTAAGGGTTAAAAAAAATTAGGGGCTGTTTGGTTGTATGTTTTTACCATGTAAAAGGATGTAAAGTGTAAAAAAATGGATCCTAATGTCAGCTTTCATCACTTTCAATTGTTTGTTTGTAGTTGTGAAAATAGTGTAAAGTGATTTCATATGCTGATGTGGCTTGTAAAGTGATTTCATGAAAAAAAGATATGATTTTAGGAGAAAGCTAACATTGAAGTTAGGAAAAAATAATAAAAAATAATTCCAACCAATATGATCATTTGAGTAGGGACCACTTTTTACACTTTCCAAACAAACAATTAAAGTTTTATTTTGCAAACCAAACAAGTGTTTTATGATTCCAATGGAATAAAAAACAAACAAAGAAAAATATAAAAGTGAAATTGATGAGGTGGACAACAACTTTCCAAGTTGTGTCATAAATACACAACTTTACCAACAACAGCCAAACAGCCCCACCCTCAGTTGTAAAAGCTGACATTTAAATATCCTATTATTTCACCACATTTACACTTGAATATTCTAAGTTGCAAAAAAAAGCACTTTAATGCTCCAAGTTGTAAGAAAATAGCAATTTAACACTATAAGTTGTAAGAAAGTAGTATTTTAATACATTATGTTAGTTGTCAAGACAATTTTCAAAGAATATTCCTATGAAAACTAATAAAATGTACTAATTTTTACAGCTTAAGATTATTAAAGTGTTACTTTTTACCAACTTAGGGGCAGTATGGTTGTATGTTTTTACCATGTAAAAGGATGGAAAGTGTAAAAAAGTGGGTCCCAATGTCAGCTTTCATCACTTTCAATTGTTTGTTTGTAGTTGTGAAAATAGTGTAAAGTGATTTCATATGCTGATGTGGCTTGTAAAGTGAATTCATAAAAAAAGACATGATTTTAGGAGAAAGCTGACATTGAAGTCAGAAAAAAATAATAAAAAATAATTCCAACCAATATGATCATTTGAGTAGGGACCACTTTTTACACTTTCTAAACAAATAATTAAAGTTACATTTGCAAAACCAAACAAGCAATTTATGATTCCAATGGAATCAAAAACAAACAAAGAAAAGTATAAAAGTAAAATTGATGAGGTGGACAACAACTTTCCAAGTTGCGTCATAAATACACAACTTTACCAACAACAACCAAACAGCCCCTTAGGGTATTTAAGTGTAAAAGTAGTGAAACTATATGGTATTTAAGTGCCATTTAGCCCAATTAAAATCATCAAAGTATCCCACATTCCTCTTTGCGAATGACTCGGAGCTTTGTTCCTGTATCCAAGTCAGCTCATGACAACATCTTAAAATTTATCCCAGATCCGGGGGAAACTAGTTTATCTCGGCCCAATTGCAAATTGGGTCGGGTCACAATGGATTTACTCAATTCTGCCTCCGCTTCCCAAATGGATATGGACCTACCTTTGAATTGACCCGAGTTAGACGTGGCCTGATGCTTTTATCTTCTTCGCCGAAGAAAAGAATCTAATTTTGTGACCACAATTATATTTGGAATTTGAGCGCACCGTTGTCCCAACAGCAACCGTGTACAAAATCGCACCAAAACCAATACCAGAACCAGATCTCGAAACAAAATTCGCCGGCATCGCTTCTTTGCGCCCAAGAATTCTCAAAGGAAACGAAGAGAATGGGCACAGTCCTCGACTCCCATTTCTTGGCCCTCACGGCTCTTGTCACCGTATCTCTCTCTCTCTCTCTCTCTCTCGCGCGCGCGCGCGTTTTTTTACTGTACACAACTTTAGTTAATCTTTGTTGTTCTTCTTTTTGTGTTGTTGTTGTTGTTGTTTATTTGGGCAGGTTGGGTATCAGTTCTTGTTCTTCATCATCACAGCGACGCTTAAGATCGACAAAGTTACTGATTTCGCAGGTGATGGCTTATTTGCCCTTCACAGCTAATTTCAAGTTTTTCTCCTGATTTAAATGCTTAGAGTTTTGGTGCTTATCTCGCGTTTTTTGTGTGATTTCTTTGTAAAAAGCATCATACTTTGCTAGAAGTAGCTAATTGGTTGGGGGGCACTGGATGCGGGTCTAAATGCCTGAATTGAGCAAGATTTGTTTTAGTTTTTCTGCATTGACTATGCAGTGACTAATGATTGGGTTGCTTGTAATTTATGCGTTTGCAACTGAGAATCAACCATCTAAGCAAAAATATATATGTAAAAACGCCTCCCGTACTGTTCTCCAATCAATTGGAGTGACTTGGAGAATCCTTTGTTGTGCGCAACGAAAATTTCGGCAGCACTTCTGATGCTCGACAAGAGAGTAGATCTCAACTAAATTCCTGTTTCACAAATGAAACAAGAATCGAAAGCAAAATATCTCAACAAAGTGGGATATTAGCTCTTCCTCTCATCAGTGATGACCTGTCGAGGGAACCTAAACTCTCTATTACAAATCACGACACGAACAATCAATTTTAACATGATTCAGCAAATTGCCTACGTCCACAAGGCAAATTGCCTACGTCTACTATTAGAGAATGAGAATACAAATAAATTTACAATCACACAAATTAAACCCTCAAACTAACTCTCAAATCTCTTACAAAAGGACAGCTGTCAACACCTAAAGAAGGCCGCCAACACCCAAAATGACAGCCGCCACTTTCTGCCCCTGCGAATTTCACTTATACGTCGTTTTTTCCCACGCCTTCCTTGCACCGCACCCCCTCTGCTCTTGCACGCCACTTGCAGAAACCCTAGAACTAGGTATTTATAGGGATGCGACCCGAAATCTCACGCGAAAAAGAAAACTCTGCTTCACGTGGGTGGCCCCCACCAAAACAAAACGCGTCTGCAGCTAGCAAAACACGTGGGTGGCCCCCACCAAAACAAAACGCGTCTGTAGCTAGCAAAACGCGTGGGTGGGATGGGTGTGGCCCCCACACGCTATCTTCTCATAATTCTCCATATCGGCGAAGTTTTCCCAAAACCGAGCCGACACCAACCAAAACAAATCCCTCGCTTGTTACGTCCAGTACGAAGTGAAACGATTCACGACAACGGACTCAATCCACAACAAGTCGAGACCCAAACGAGAATGCGAACACTCGGTATCAACTCATTAAATCGGTCGCATCATAAAGACTGCCTACGTATCCTCTTGCCCAAGGAATCAAGCCTCACGTAGTTTATCAAATGACCTCCAAAAGACCTCAATCAAATAGAAAAGTTTGTAACTCTTCACCAACATCACCAACGGATCTGTAACTGATAGCTCTCCCAAAGTTCCCAAACTAAAACATATCAAATACCTCCATCTGAGGTGAACCAATGGCCGTATCCAAATTATATCCACCAGCTGCACCCAAATCCAAAAATAACTCATCATCTGCATTCAAATCCAATTGATCCCAAAACTGTGTCACCTCAGCTGGAATCTCAAACAATACAAAATGATCTGGAGTATGTGGAGTAATCTCCACCAAACGTGGAGTAGTATCACTTTCCAATCGTTGCGATACATCTAAGGTCTGTCCAAAACTCTCCACCTGCTGAGAGTCAAATAACTCCCTCATCGAAGCCTCAACCGAAGTGACACTACCAGATTAAACATCCAATGGAGTTTTACTTCCATTGCAGCAGTCGAAAACCTATGACCAAGATGATCCAAATATGTCAAAGCCTCAACACCAGAATCAATGCTCAACATCAAACGCTGGTCCTCCTCCAGCAAGAAACAACTCACCAAATCTGCCATCTCATCTTATTGTCCTAACATTTCTTTTCCACCGAAGTGTCTCAAAATACCGTGAGCTTGACTCAAATACAGAAACAGGTCCCTCTTCTACCTTCCATCAAAATCAGAACGGAATACCTTCATCTTTCTGTCAATCTCACACTTCTTCAATCTGTTAGAGACTACTAGGACTTTATCGAAAGAGGATTTGGTTACAATCCAAACACGCCTAGAACAGCCACTAATAAAGGACACCAAACATCTATTTCCTCCCAATGATACCTCCTTAGAAGGCCCCCAAATATCCACGTGAACCCCATCTGAAAGACTCTCCGTGCGGTGAATAGAGGTGCCAAACTTCACCTTGGTCTTCTTGCTCACATCGAAATATTTACTGGATTTCAAACTGCAGGTTGATGCACCCATCTCCAAATCAATACTGGAATGACTAAGCCCCAAATGTCGCAGTTTAGTCGAATCAACAGAAGTCGTCAACTCTCCGCCTGTCACTGTATCTCTAATCAAATAGTATAAGTTATTCTTCCTGACGCCCTTCATCACAATCAAAGAGTCTTCCACGATCTCGAGAACCATATCCTCAACACGAAACTTCAGACCCTCTCCAACCAAAGCTCCAATTGAGATCAAGTTCTTCCTCAATGAAGGAACATATCTCACATTATATACTCTCTAACAGTCTCGTCAAACATCTTGATGCGAATTCTTCATATCCCAAAGATCTGACATGCACGGTTGTCTCTCATGTACACCACATCACTATCCAGTTTTTCAAAACTGGTGAACCATTCTCTTCTAAGACACACATGATAGGTCGTACCACTATCCAACATTCACTCGAATTCCTCCGAATAGCTACCTGTAGGACTGATAGAAAGCAAATAAATAGAAGTATCAGAAATATTACCATCCGATATAACGATGTTTGTTTCTGATGATGGTTGCTTTTTTTTCCTTCTGCTTATTCTTCATCTATTCGTCAAGCTTTGGACAATCTTTCTTTCAATGATCAGTCTTCTTGTATCAAGCACACTGATCTTTTCTAACTGTAGGATGCCCTACTCTAGATTATGACTTCTAATTTTTTGGTTTGGATTCTTCCCTCTTGCGACCAATGCCTCCGCTATCAGCTCAACTGAAGCCTCTTTATCCTTCTTTCGAAGCTGATAGTTCACAAGTGCAGCGGTGACCTTACTATACGAAAGGAACGTCTTCCTATTAATTAGGGTAAGAACAAAGGTCTCGTATTCCTTATCCGGCAAGGAATTCAACAACAACAATGTCTTGTTCCCATCTTCAATCATAACATCCAAATTCGTCAAATCCGCAAGAAGCTTCGTGTAGTGGTTCATATGATTACTAATGGAGGTTCCCTTCTTCAATTGGAAGCGATAAAGCCTCCTTTTCAAATACAAGCGATTTTTCACACTCTTGGTCAAATACTTGCTCTTAAGGGTCTCCCAAATCTTCTTTGCAGAAGTCTCATTCATCACATCATATTTCAAATCATGTGTTAAACAAGACCTAATAACACTACACGCCGTCCGATTCATCTTCGTCCAAACCTTCTCTTCAATATCATCTGGCTTGCCATCTAATTCCAAAATATCATCCAAATTTTGCGCGTTCAACGCATCTAAAACTTCGCATCGCCAAAGTCCAAAGTTATTTGTGCCATTAAATTTCTCCACATCTATTTTCGTAGAGTGGATATTCAAATTTTGAATGTTTTTCACACCAGAAGCATCACCCTCAACACCTTCTTTCCCGGCCATATTCCTCAACACACCAACAACTAATACGGAACAAACTGAAGAATAGATCCAAACTTGAGAAAGATAGAGCCTTTACCAAAAAGATCCCATCTTTAACTCCAATTGAAACCCTAGACGAGCTTCCAAAGCGATCTACTTCTTTAAATTGTCCAAGCGAGCCCGAGCTCTGATACCACTTGTTGTGTGTAGCGAAAATTTCGATAGCACTTCTAGTGCTCGACAATATAGTAGATCTCAACTAAATCACTGTTTCACAAAGGAAATAAGAACCGAAAGCAAATATCTCAACAAAGTGGGATATCAGTTCTTCCTTTCATTAATTCTAGGATTGACTTGTCGAGGGAACCTAAACTCCCTATTACAAATCATGACACGAACAATCAATTTTAACGTAGTTCGGCAAGTTGACTACGTCCACGGGGCAATGAGGGGGGATCTACTATTAGAGACAAATAGGTTTACAATCACACAAATTAAACCCTCAAACTAACTCTCAAATCTCTCACAAAAGAACAGCCGTCAACACCCAAAGAAAGCCGCCAAAACCCAAAAGGACAGCCGCCACTTTCTGCCCTACGAATTTCCCTTGTACGCCGCTTTTTCCCACGCTTTCCTTGCACCGCACCCCCTCTACTCTTGCACACCGCCTACAGAAACCCTAGAACTAGGTATTTATAGGGATGCGGCCCGAAATCTCATGCGGAAAAGAAAACTCTGCTTCACGTGGGTGGACCCTACCGAAACAAAACGCGTCTGCAGCTAGCAAAACGCGTGGGTAGGATGGGTGTGGCCCCACACGCTATCTTCTCACATCCTTTACTTGTAGGCATTATTAAACAACACTCTCCTACACCCTAGAAATGTTTATTAATAAAATCATCCTGAATTAGTTCTCTAATCTTATGTTGATCAAAGGACTACTTGGAAATACTTGTAAGCATTCTAGTATTTGTTGTTCTATGATGATATGATTTCATGCTTTTCTCTACAGGTAGCACAAATTTTATCATACTTGGGATATTAACTCTTTCCTTGAAAGGGGCATGGCATTTCAGACAGGTCAATTTTTATTCTTACCTGCAACATTATTATTACAGGGATCTTATCATATTTCACTATGATATCATGCAAAAATTTATTAGTTTGTCCCAGCTATCAAATAATTACTTTTGTTGTTGATTCCTCAGGTTGCTATATATTCAGATTTAGGTTGTTTGCCAAGTATTTGGTTGTATTGTAGTTTGCTGTAGAAACTCTGATATATAATAATCTCTCAAGTCATTATTATTTCGATGTAAAAGATGAACACAACCGCTGGTGTGCATTGAACCCTGATACTA